CACCTCCTTTTCCTTCTACTGTTCCTCTTATTCCTCCTCCTCCTTCTCCTCCTTTTTCTTCTCCTTCTCCTCTTCCTCCTTCTCCTCCTCCTCCTTCTCCTCCTCTTCTTTCTCCTCCACCTCCTCCTCCTCCTACTCTTCTTTCCACATCGCATCTGCCGAATTTTCTCACAGTGAAAGTTACTTTTGACTAGAAAGAATGCAGACATGCTCTCCTTTCGCAAAGGTATCATCCGGCTTCAGAAACCAAAGTTGCTGCTATGCTTGTACATCATTTTATGACGCTGAACTAAAATTCTCAACCAAAGGTAGAACATCTTGTCTCCAACGCCAGTAGGTTTAGATACTATCAATAAATCCTGACTAGGAACGGTATTCAGCCTAGGCCACATAAAGTGATGGAAAACTGAAAGGTGAAGCTTCCCACAATGGTATGAATAAGCCTCAGGAGGCCATTAAACTTCACATGTTCTCTCTTCATCCTAAACAGTGTCGTCATCTAGACTGGCCAATACAGCAGTCACGACCTCGTACGGGTTGCGTCAGCAATCTCAAAAGGGTTGGAGCTTAGGCTGTGCCAGATGGATGCCAACAAGTTGCCAAGGCAGCTGTGAACTTCAAAGCGGGCCAAGCCTCTTCCAGATCACGTTGTACGGTGGAATGTGGAAAGAGGTGAACATGTATTTGCCATGACAATTGTCTGCTCCAGAAGGACAGATACAACCAGAAAGTTTAAGCAGAGATTTAGAAAAATCGCACTTATCACCAAGACAAGAAGAGTGGCCAGTTACAAAGCGACACACGTTTTAGAGCCTCCATCTGCCCATCTAAAGAGACCACTCAAAAATGACATGCCTTTTATTCAAATTATTAGAATTCTCAAATTATTTTCAACTTCCCTTGATGCCTAATTGTTGTCAATAAGAACTTCGGCTAAATTCTACATCTCTTGGACCCGGGGATTCAAGTCGAAAAAAGACAGATTTTTTAGTATCGCTCATTGCATTACTCCTACTTTATGCTATGCATCGTAATTTCAAGAATACATTAAGAAACGTAATCCACAGTTATGGGTTCAACATGCAGACATTTATACCCACTTTAATTCTCTCTTTACCACAATGGCATCACATTTAATATCAATGTGAATTACGTCGTCTTGTCGACTTACGAATGTCGCCTAAATTCCCTTTGACTTGTTGCCAAATCGTAAAGTTAGCAACTAAAGGTGCCTGTTGTGGTTTGTTAAAATTGTAGCTAAACACGATGCAGCGGCTAGAAGTAACCACCAAACAAAATGTTTTCAGTTCATTATCAAATTCGGCAATATCATGATTGACCCATTACCCGAATTCTCATGCGTCATAATGTTCCAAGTTTGTGCATTAACTGTTTATCGACGAATGCAAAAGTATTTCTTATTAAAAACTCAAATTCTGGGGATTTGCTTTGACTAATTACAGCATCAACATACTATTAGTTGGCACCTCTTCTCTGAGTGTCTGAGACAGGCCCAATGTCTATTACGCGAATTTTTCGTGCTCCAGAAATCAACTGTACTACTTACTACGTAAGTGCACAGCTTTGATACCACATCCAGGAGACAAAGGGTCAGAAACCCTCTATCTCCAGCAGGCAGATTCCCAATGAAGATGAGCAGTGGACTTATGCCATTTGTACATTCCCACCTTTTATCCGTTCTCTTCCCTTGCCTCAGTGAAATGTGAAAGTGACGATCCGCTGGGCATGATCTCCGGTGCCATTGCAGACTGGCAGATCACAGCCTCGTCTACATACCCGGCAACCTGGCAACAGGGCTGTTCGGAGGGCAACGCTCGACTCTACCGCCCCAATGGCTTGGCCTGGTGCGCCAAGTTCAAGTCCTCCTCGGAATGGTTGCAGATCGACTTGGGCGTCAAGGCAATTGTAAGTGGATAGACCAAAGACTTCAATCTGCCTTACTCTTCTGTCTATTTTCCATCACCAATACACACAAACACACACACACACATACACACAACAATTCCTGCTATTCAGTGAGTTCACTCGGGGGCCCAAACCGGTTGAGGTGAGGAGGTTCACTTTGTGTGAAAGAGCCAGATAAGGAGAATTTCTTTTTTGGTTGGATCGGGAAGGTATGGGGGAGTACTTCTCTTATGCTACTTTTCGGACATTCCCATTTATGGATGTTGTTTGTAAAGGCACTTGAAGCTAACACAAAGTCAACAAGCGTTAACAAGTGTCTTTTCTGATTGGCTTTTCGTTGAGTTGATCCGATCGTAAGAACGAGATGATGTCTATCCAGAGGCTGCAAAAAAGAAAATTTTTAATTTTTCTTTCCTTGTATGCTTTAGAAACTATCCATAGACCTTAAACAATATCTGTGTTCCCTCTATTTTATGAAGAAAAACTGGTTTTCGGAGGATTCCTTGATGAAATATTGTGACATGATTCTTCATTTCGAAGGTAAAGTTGATCGGAAAGAATTCGTAAATTGGTCTCACCGGAAACCGAAGGAGGATTTTCACGTAAGGAAGAACCAGTTGGTCCCAAGTTTCCATTCCATTTCACACAGCCTCACTTCCCAAAAAATATTCCCATACTGGCACGACGGATCCAGACTGTAGATTTTTTCCCCTCCTGTGTTCGTTTGGGATGAAGATAATACCCTTTAGGAAGTTGGGCTATGTAAAAATTTAATGAAAACGTAAGGGCTATTCATATGATTGTGGGAAAATCAAATTACCAGTCACTCTAAACAGATTGTTGTAACTACTAACAACTCCAGAACAGCATGAAGAAACAATCTTCTCTCTCAA